TCACCTCCTTCCTCCCTCCTTTCCTTTTCTTTCCTTTTTTTCCCCTCCCTTTCTCTCTTTCATGCTGTCAGTTGAGTACCTTTATACCCTTCAAGTTTCAAGCCTGAAAGTTACAAAACAAGGCAAGATTTTTCATCCCTTTCACACCCATGCCCAGACTTACTCCTGATTATGTTTTTGTTTAAGCCAGAATAGAATCCAGTTCCTCTGCCTCTCACCACACCCAAAATATGCAGAGTTGCAGCTCATGCAGAGAAAATGATCTTGGCTAGAGTCCCCCTCAGAGCATGCTATTGATAATTCATGATGAGTGGGAAAGAGGCTATTAGGGTAGGCTGGTTGTTTTTATGCAATGGCCAACTTTGGGGGAAAGCTAGAAGGAGATCAGAAATTCCTTTTTTTTTTTTTTTCTCAAAGAGGACAAATGTGACCAGACCATGTAATTTAATTCTTCTCTAACCTCTGGGCCCACCGTTTTGTAAACATCCCCATGAGCCTGTTGAAGCAAAGAATGTGAAGGCTAAAGAACCTGCAGCCCTTCTTTCTACACCACACCTCTATCTATGATCCTGGTGGTTTTTTCCCCCTAGTTTCAATAATCTGCACTTGTTCTTTGTGATGTCTTTTCCTTATCTCCTCCGACTATCTCTGTAGAATGTCACCTGGAGCCTTATTTGGGTAGCTACTTGTTACTACATCCCATGTGTTTTATGTAAGGCCAGAATATTTTAGAATGCTTCATTCAGAGAGCCAGTTGGGGGTTCCTGTACAGTAGGGTTGATACTGAGTTTACATTGTTCACTGACCAGCAGCCAGCACCAGTGGGCACACAGAACTGGAAGCTGGAAGCAGAGTGGCTCTGCTCACCATTCTCTTCTCGCACTCTTTCTTTTCATCTGTAAAAATAGCACTAAAAAACTGAGGCTTTTTCTTGCCACAGAGCAGCCTATAAGACAGTGGTAGCCACAGAAAACTGAACATTAAAAAGATGCTCTAAGCTGCACTATCCAGTATGGTAGCCACCAGTCCCACGTGGCTATTGAGTGCTGGAAATGTGACTGGTGTCTACTATAAATATAAAATACACATCAAATTTCAAAGCCTTAGTACAAAAAAAGAGTAAAATATTTAACTTTAATATTGAATACGTGTTGAAATAGTAATATTTTGGGTATATTGAGTTCAATAAAATACTATATTATTAAAATTAATATGTTTTCTTTTACTTTTTTTAACATAGCTGTTAGAAAACTTAATTATATACAGAGAGTGCCCAAAAGATGTGTACACATTTTAAGAAAGGAAAAAAACTATTAAAATTGTAATACTCAATATATACTGATAACAAAAGATGAATACAAGTCGTGTATACATATTTTTGGCACCCCTGGTATGTGACTCACATAATATTTTGATTGGGCAGCACTGGTCTAGAGATACCTAAGAGTAAATACTTTCTCAAAAGTTTTCTGTACTATGAAACTTCAGGAAACTAGCTACCACTTTTCTCTATATAGCCACCCTTCCCCCCTTTTTAATGTTCTTTCATTACATTTGATGACATCAGGAAGAAAGCCTTCGTTAAGTGCTAATTTTTTTTTTTTTTACACCCACTACTCACCTGAGACAAGTGACATCTAGTGAAGAGCTGGGTGGTTGGGGAGGGAGTTATTGTCATTGGGGAGCAGAAGAATGGTGATTAGTTCAAACTTCTGACTTAGAATTGTTTTTTACATTTGGAACCCTTCAGCTAACAAGTCTGAGGTAAAGAACTGAAGGAGAGAAAAGTGAAGTAGACACTCTAAAACAGAAATGTGCCTTCCTCTTAAGGTTCTAATATTGCTTTCCCCTTATTTATTTAAATTTATTGAGGATCTATCATGTGCCAGACAGTTTCCTAGCACAGGAAACAGAGGAATACAGCCTACTTACTGACTGCTCACAAGGAGCTTACATTCAGGTAGAAAATTAATTTGAATCCAGCCTCCTACTCTAGATAACCACTGTGACAATGGTAGAAAAGAAAATGCTTTGGGGGCACTAGAAAGTCATGACTCATTCTGTCTAGAAAGGAAACTGAAGGCTTCATGTGCCTTGAATGTGCTATTACCAGGCAGAAAGGCAGGTGGAAAGGATGTTTTAGGCTCTGAGGGGGATCGCCTGACTAAAGGCATATGGGGAGTGGTAGAAGGTGACTCTTGAAATAGTAGTTTGGGGCCATATTGGGGATTTGACTGCCTCTCTAACAGATCTAATCTGTTGGATCTTATCCTATATTTGGGGGACCATTAGAGGGTTCTAAGCAGGGGAATGTCATATTCAACACTGTATGTTAGAGATACCACTCAGCTACCACTCCTGGGAAGGATAGATTGGAGGGGCAGACACTGAATGCAGGAGTTGTAGTCAGCCAGGCAAGGGACAGCAAGCCCTCGCTGGAAAGGAAAGAATATACACAATAAAGAGTTGTTGAGGGATGAAAGGGAGGTGTCAAGCATAGTCCCAGGTTTCTAACTTAGATCCCTAGGGTGTCTTTATCCAAAATTGTAGTAGGGGATCAGGCTGAAATGGAACACAGAAGATGCACTGTGGACTTGAGGCTAGAGCTGCAGAGGGAGCTGGCTGAAGCTGAAGTGCTTGTGTTTGTGTTTCAGATGGTGACCCTCTTTCAGATGTGGGTTGTTCCCCTCTATTTCACAGTGAAGCTGCACTGGTGGAGGTTCCTAGTGATCTGGACCTTGTTCTCTGCTGTCACAGCCTTTGTCACCTTCCGAGCTACCCGAAAACCACTGGTACAGACAACCCCAAGGTGAGAATTCAGGCAGCGGGGAAGAGCTACATTTCCTGAAGCTAACCGGTTGAGTTGCATGGGAGAGGGATGGGGTTAGACTGAAAAAACATCAGTTTTTATCTGCAAGATTACTTGGCAAGGGGCCCCACCAAAACAAGCTGATTGGGAGACCTATCCCCATTCACAGATAAAAACCCCCCAAATATTTCCCTATAGCTTGCTTACCTTACGGTTTATATCAAGGGATTTATGTTAAAATGAAACAAAATAAGTAAGCAAATCCTGGTGATGATTGTGGTCTCATTCAAATGTTATTTTCTTCTGTGAACCCTTCTCTGATCTCTAAGTTAGATTATCTTCTTTCATAATGCTCTGTAGTTTTCCTTCATAGAATTTATCACAATTTATAACTAAATATTATCTTGCGTGTCTGTCTTCTCCACTAAACTATAACTGTGAGATCAGGAGCCACATCCATTTCGTTTGTCACTGTGTATCCAGGCCCGGCCGCAGAGCCTGGCACATAGTCGTCTACGCTGAATCTTTGTTGAATGAATGAATCTCAACAAATTTGCCGTTTTACCACAAATAGTACTTCTTTTGGGGTCACAAAACAGCCCCTGCCTTTATAATTCTCTGTATTTTATCCAAATGTATTTCTTATTTGACCCTTCCATCCAGCTTGTGAGGTCATTTAATATCTGTGAGAATAAAGACAAAAAAGAGATTTTCTCATTCACTCATTCAATAAGCACCTGCTATTTGTGAGGCCTTGTGCTGAGCGCTGGGGTACAGAGCTGGATAAGACATGGCCCCTCTGCCCTCAAGGAGCGCTTGGTTTAATTGAGGAGATGGGTGAGAAAGCAGCTGTTTCAGCTGGTAAGTGCTATGAGAGCCGGGTGTAAAGGTCCAGGAGAGCCTGACAGGAACTGGCCAGCTTCAAAGTTTTAACTACTAGATCCAAAGTCTTCCAAGTTGCAAGTTGCTCTTTCTCCCATGTCTCTTATGTTCCACTTTACTGCAAACCTTTGGCCTTCTGAGTCTCATTGAACAAAGTTACATTTGTCTTCAAGGTGAAGTTGATGATCCAGAGCCCCTTTCTGGCTTCTGGTAGTTTATGCTAAGGGCCATTAGGGAAGATACAGGCTCTGGAGCCAGAGGCTGGTAGATTGGAAACCCAAGCTCTGCCATTTCTTTGTGAGACTTGAATTCTTTATCCTTAAAAGTGTGGTAATAATTGCTACCTCATGTAGGGTGATATGAAGAAAAAGTGTAATAAAGCATGTCAGGTGTTACCAAGTAACAAACAGTATCAACTTCTAGCTAAAATGACTGAAAATGTGTCTATAGCATGGGAGGTTTTTGATAATAGTTTGATAGTGCTTTATAATTTCAAAGCATTTTCATAAGTATCCAGTTTATTCATGCAGCACTTATTGAGCATGCATTTTATGCACCAGGAAATGGGCTCTGTACAATCCAGTGAGTAAGGTAGCATAGTTTCCCCATTTTATTATACAAATAAGTAAACTTGGCTCAGGAGGTGATTCGACTTACCTGAGGTTACCCAGTTAATAAACCTCATTTGATCCAGATTCCACCTGAAATTCCACATCCTTTCCACTGTGTCTCATTCCTGTCCAATCAGTGCAAACCCTAGATAATGGACCTGTGTGAGGTCTTTGAGGGAAGACACTGCAAGATGTTTGGGGCCTTTCCCTCACCTGAAAAGCTACCACCCTTGCTTAGCCACAGCAGGAAGGCACAGGCAGGGACTTTGAACTTCTTCCCTAGGGACTAGCAGGATTGGTAGTAACCTAGTTGGCTCTCAAGAGCTAGGACAGCTTGTGCTGGCTATTTGAGCAAATGACTAAGTTGCTCATTAGCTCTCATCACAGATAGAATAGTGGCTCCTGATATCAGAGACCTACCTCCATAGCATTTAAAGGGCTCTGGTATGAAATATGGTTCAGGAAACCATATTTCCTTAACCTAGCTGCAGTCAACCAACCAGATTCCACACTGCTTCTAAGTGGCTCCTAGGGAGCACTGCTCCTCCTCCAGGACCATGTTCCAACCCACCCTCCACCCCATCACCACCATCCGCACGGACAGCCAATTCAGAAGTATTCTTTGATTGCCTCCGTCCTTATTACATCTCCTCTGGAAAAAATTTTTTTCAGAAGCGAAGTCGTTAGACACTCATTTTGCTATTGGCCTGTGGATAGGAAGGAGCAAAGCAGTATTCAGATTAATCATGCCTAGCTGATTCTGCCTCTAACTCATCTTCCCTTCAATTCTCTTTCCTGACAAGAACAACTGGCCTTCCCCACCTGTTCCCTTCTGAATTTAGTTATAGTTACTAGTTTTCACACCCTTACCCAGTTACCCTGAATTTGAGACATCTGAGGTCAGCTGTGCTCTTTCTTTGAGACTGAAACCTCCTTTTAAGAAAGGCTCTTTTCACCTTGGTCTGAGACCAAGAAGATACAAAGCACTAGCTCCCTGGTATGTGGAGGTGTTTCTGCAATTAAGGTAGTGACCAGCTTTGTACAGTTAACTGAAGTTGTTCAGTAAGTCCTAAACAAAGAGCCTGATGTCCCCCACTGATGTGACAATACAGGATTCTGGTGGTCCAGAGGCCCATAGGCCCGTGTGTCTGTGTTGGCTGTATTAATTTTCTCTCTTTTCTCCAGGTTGGTTTATAAGTGGTTCCTGCTGATCTATAAAATCAGCTATGCCACTGGCATCGTTGGCTACATGGCTGTCATGTTTACCCTCTTTGGTCTTAACTTATTATTCAAGTGAGTAACCTTTGCTTTTGTTTTTGCTGGTGTTGGGGGAGGAGAAGCTGGTGGGATGTACCTTTCTTCCTGGGGCAAGTCCTCGGTGTTAACAGGGAGAACATGGTCCCCAGGGTAGGAGACTTGAGTTACGGAGGATGGAGGGTGGGCCCTTCATGATTTGTGTTGGCAAAGAGAAAGAAATGTCTGAATAACACAAAATTAGAGTTTCAAGTCACTGGTTATATTTTCCAAGAATTTATATTTTAGTGCAAAAACTGTAATAACAAAAGTAAGAATAATAATGATTACAGCCAGTTACCCATAACTCCATCACCCTAACAGAACCATTTTCCTTGTCCACGTATGCACTGTTTTTGCAACATTCACTCTATCTGTGTGGTCTTATGTTCAAGGAGACTAGGAGTTGGCACACTATGTCTTACGGGCCAAATTGGCCTGCCTCCTGTTTCTATAAAATAAAAAGAAATTTTACTGGAACACAGGCACACTCATTTGTTAACACATTGTCTATGGATGTTTTTACAGTAGTACAGTGGAGATGAATAATTGTGGCAGAGACTATATGGGCCAAAAAACCTAAAATATTTACTATCTGGCCCTTTACAGAAAAAGTTTGCCAACCCCTGGACTAGACATTCAAACTCATGGGACACAGTCAGCCACACCTGGTAACCAATCCACCTAGAAGAATACAAGACAGGAAACAGCAGGCAGTGTCTGCAGAATCCCTCACTGTAATCCCAGGGCTGAGATGTGAAGGAATGAGATGACGCGGTGTGGGAGACACCTGGCCCAGAAGCCCAAGGAATACTTCTAGTTTTAGGACTCTCCCAGTCCAGATGCAGTGTACTAATCACAGGCCATGTTTAATATATAAGCACTTTTGCTTTGTAACACAGCTGACATTCTACCTTTATCAGATTTATCAGGAAACAGCTACAGAAAGTTAACCTATGGACATGTAAGTCCTGCTCTGTTGATGGGGACTTAGGTTGTTTTTCTGTTTAGTGCTATCACAGATAACATTGCTCTATTGCTTCCTAAGGTTACATTATTAGGAGTAGGATTCTGGCTACTGCTTCATATTATCATAAGCTTTCCAAAAGATTTGTATCAGCGTACAGGTCTCCCCACCTCCAATTGAGGCAGAAGCCAAGAAATTCTGGACTCTGGGACTGACCGGTACAGTGAGTAAGTAGGGCAGAAGAGGGTGGAGCTGTGGTTTCCTGGCAGAGGTGATAAGGGCTGTGGATCATGGGGAAGGTTAAGACTGGGACAGCACACTGAAGCTGGAGAGATTTAGGATTCAAATTTAAGTTCATGACCAGTGGCCTCTTCCCTAAACCTAGTACGCTGTAGGTGGGAATTTCTTGGAAACTGAAGGAAGTAAGTCCTAATTTACGTAATGAGAGGACACCCACAAATTGTTTCTTCCGGTGGTAGTATAGGCTAGAAGAATAAACAGGCTTCACAAAGGTTTATAGGAACTCATCGGTAAAGAGTCTAACACATCTCATCAAAGAAAACCAAGATATTTCCAGATATCTTAACCTGTGTGGTTAAAAAAAAAAAAAATTAAGATTCTGCATTTTGTTTTAAAGGTATTTATTCAGTAATTACAGTTTCTTTTTACTTTCCTCCTCTACAGGGAGGAAAACAGAATTGAGAATCTTGACCATTTTAATGCTACTGATCAGGTTAATTGGTGCAAGATTATGTTCTAGTCAGTAGGTTAAATATTACAAGATCGATGAGCATATTCAACTTTATAAGATAAATATAGTTTACAGCTTTACGTGAACACCTACAGTTCCTGGTACAAATATTTTAACAAAGGAATTTTTCTATAATAAACATTTACAGACTCAAGGTTGTAAATTATTGGTCCTTGGACTGATTAAAACAAACCTCCTGATATTTCAGGCAAGATCTTTGTCCTTAGTAAATAGACGTGGACCAAAATTGAACTTTGATGACATGATACAGAATATGTATAGATGCAACTTAAAATTTTGTGGTAACTGGTATATAACTAACTTTCCTAAAAGTGGTTGGCAAACTTTTTCTGTAAAGGGTTAAATAATAAATATTTTAGGACTTGTGGGACAAAAAGTGAAATCTAGGATGTGATATAGATACTTACATAACAAGAGTGAAAAATTCTTTGCCTAGCTTGCCTGGATAGGCTGTCTCAGACTGTGGGCATACTTTGTGCCCATTTGCCATCAGATAAGACATTCTCAGAAGCAGGGGTTTGACAGGGTGTGTGAACACTGGGGTCATTTTCACTCTCTGCTTAGTGACACCTAGGGAAGATGTGCCCTTCCCTCCTTTTGGAGGGCTTAGCCATTTCAACTTGGGCTGCGAGCTGGAGGTGAGGCAGTTCAGTGAGTTGCCAACTTTTGGACTGAAACTCCACTGCTTGGTGTCCAGCAGTTGCCAGTAGTGAAGTTCTGAACATATAGGTACCAACCAGAGCAGGCTCTACGCAGCTGCAAGGCGTGGTTGCCAGTCGGAGGAGGTAGACCTGGGAACAGAGTGGAGGGAAGTAGGGCAGAAGGGGCACCTTGGTCTTTGCAGCTCACAGTGCTGGTCTGCCTGTTCAAGTGGTTCCCACGGGCCATATAAGAACAGGCAGCAGGCCGGGTTTAGTCTTAGTTTGCTAACACTTGCTCTAATCCTTGACCCTTCCAACTTAGGCACTGCCTTCTGTGTCCCAGAGCAGTAATACAGAGCAGTTGTGTCTCAGGGCAGGCCTCACTGCTTCCCTTACAGGATCAAACCAGAAGATGCCATGGACTTTGGCATTTCTCTCCTCTTCTATGGCCTCTACTATGGCGTCCTTGAGCGGGACTTTGCAGAAATGTGTGCAGACTACATGGCATCTACCATAGGGGTGAGTTCACCTGGGCTCTTAGTACTGCCCCTTGCCACCTCCAGAGAGTTCAGGACAGCATCACTTGTTGGATATAAGAGATAAGCCATGTAAAATCCTTCAAGATGTGGGTGGTATGTATGAAGAGTCCTGTAAAATTTGTAAAGAAAGATCTCAGATATACCCTGGAATTTTTTTTTTTTTTAAGATTTTTTATTGAGGAATTGGGGGAGGGGAACAGCGCTGGGGAATTGGGGGAAGGGGAACGACAAGTTGCTGTCCTTTTGTTCTTCAGTCTAGTTGTGGAGGACATTGCTTCACTGGCCCAAGTTGGCACCATCATTGCGCTCTTCCTGGGCGATGCAGATCAGTCGCCAGCTTCTGGACGGCCGCTCACACTGGCTGCTGGCTACACATGCTAGCCCATGGCAACCCACTGCAGCAGGGGATGCAGCCTACGCCGTCGCAGGCGACTCATGGCAGCCCAGCTCTAGGTTGAGCTGTTGTTCAGCATCTTAGCTGTAGAGGGCAGTGTCACTGGCCCTCAAATGTGGGATCCAAACCGGGGCCCTCTGACATCCCAAGCCAGCTCTTAACCAACGCTCCACTCATCTGGGCCTACCCTGGAATTTTTAACTTTAGGGCCGTTACAGAGAAGAACCACTTTACCCTGCAGGAAGTAAACATTCATTCAACAAATATTTATTTAATGCCTGTGTATCAAGACACTGTGTGTTTGCTGGAATTACAAAGGTGTACAGAAATAAATGTGGCCTGCCTAAATGGAGTTTATGCTCTAGTGACGGATGGGTATTAAGGTAATAAACCCAGAAATAAGTACATAATTATAACTTTAATAAGTATTATGAGGGCAAGATTCATGATGCAATGGACAAATCGAGTAGTGGCATTTGACCGTGTAAACAACACAGAAGTGCTCCCCATCTCAGTGTCTCAGTGTCATCTAATTAGACCCCACCCCAAGAAGGCATATTTCCCAGTTTAATGGACATTTCTCCAATTCTGTGCTGAAATACATGTGGCTCTGTCTGATGAAGGCAGACTGAAGGGCGTTCAGCAGTTCTTGCTACATCGTGGTGTGGCGGTCTGGAGAGAACTCCTAGGAGAATCGGGAAAGTGGGGTCTCTTGGAGCATCCAGATGCCAGTCCTAGCTTTTAGGCAGCAGATGTTAGTGGCGGCCAAGTGACAGGAACAGGAAAGGACTAGCACTGACTTGCAGTGAGGCACCTCAGAAACTCTTGGAGAGTTTGAGGCATTTTTGCAGGTGGGGAGCTAATTTGCAAATTTGTATGTCTGTGCTACTGCGATCTCATTTGTGCCACAGGCCTGTAGGCTTAGGGCTATTTAGGTTAAATAATACTCAGCCATCACCCTGGATACATTTAATCAAGTACAGTTTTTTTAGGCCCAAGGTTTTATTTCTCAGTATTATTTTTCCTGTAATGGGTCAAATTGAAAGGAAAGTACATTGAGTCACTATATAGACAGCCTATTAGATTCTTTTTGAACAACTGTCTTATGTTTTAGCTGCATTTCCGGTCTCTTATCTGTTTGTGTAAGCTTCAGATCTTCCTTTAACCTGCTCATTTCCCAGAAGAGATCTCCAGACCCTAGATTGTCTAATTATTAGCCTCTTTTTCGACAACAGCTGTTCTCTGAGACGTGCTTTTATGGCATAGCCAGCTTTTCAACACTCCTGTCAGTATCCTGACCTTTACCCTCTAGTGATTTATGTTTCTTCTTGTTACGTTTTCACAGGAGCAATTCTCTGATTTCCCCAGGTTGTTGCCAACTTTATCTCAAGGTTACTATCAGCTGCTAATTTAAGCAGAGCCTTAATTCCCTCAGGTGGGTCACTAATAGCCAATATACAGAATCCCCCTTCTGTCCAAATGGAACTGAGTTCAGAATTGAGCCACAAGTTAGCTTCTCAAAGAGATGGGATAATTACATTGTCTTCCCCCAAATGGGATTTGAGCTGGGCTTCTTTCCATACTCTTGGGAAGAATTATTGGGTGCTCCAGTGATTATAAGTGATAATCCCTAATTATTATTATCTAATTCCCCAGTAATGATAAACTTCAGCTTCACCAAAAGACCTGGCAGGAGAGTTTCTTGTTAGGGTGGAGAATGTCTCAAATACCAGCTCTTGGCCCCTCATCTTCTCCTTTCCTTTGTGGCATCTTACTAGTTACTCCCACCACTCCATGCTCATTCTTTAATAGCCTGGCCCAAGGATAAACCCACGTACTTCCCTGTGCCTCTTAGCACAAGAACAGAAGGATCAAACAGTCACATTGGACTTTAAAAGGGTTGAGGATGGTAGCAGGAAAATAAACCATGAGTCCCTGACTGAGGTCATCTGACTTACCGGACTGCCTGCTCTCCAGTGCTTCCAGACCCTGGGTCATCCGTATCTCAGCCTACCTCTGTGTAGTGGGTGCCATCTTGGCATCCACCATCTAGAATCCCCATTAGACAACTATTTCCCAAATGTCTAGACCTAGAGATTGAGTTCCTGACAAAAATAATGCTTCCCCCTCCCCTATACCTCAGGCCAGCCTTTGGAATCCTGGTATCGTATATGAGGACCTACCCCTTCCTTAGATAATTGACATTGAGAATGGTTATCCCTTTCAGAGGAGCCACTCTATCTAACTCCTGTTCAATAGAATGTGACCTTGCTGACCCTGACTATAGACAGGCAGTTTGCTGTTTCCCAGGTCCCCATCTTGGTGGCAGGGAGTGGGTCATAGGAAGACTAGAATGGCATGTGATGGTACTGGTGAGTCACCAGTTCATTCATTGATTGTTTCCCGTAGCACATATTGCTGAGACTTAGTGTAGGCCTTCTGCTAGGGCTCAGGATGCCAACAGATGAGACCAGGCAGAGATAGGGGAGAAGGGACTCCACCATGGGATAAAGGGATAAATTGCACTGCCTTTACAGTTCTTTCCGACACTGAGAATCCCGGGACCCTCTTATTTCTGCCGGTCTTTGGCCAAGTGGACCTTCGTCTGCTCCTGAGCCACGGCAGCCTGAATTTCAAGAATATCCCTGGCCTTGAAGCCAGAATCTGGTCAATGTTTTGGGGGAGGCAATCCGAGGAAGCCAGGAAACTTCAGCCTTTCATGCATTCATTGGCCAATTCACTCATTTATTTATTCAAGCAACAGTTGTTATCAACCATCTACAGTGTACCAAGTATGACCAAGTACAGTCTTCACTAGCACCACTGTTGCCTACTTCCAGTAGTAACCCTACTCATTTTTTTAATTGTGATAAAATACACATAACATAACATTCACTGTTGTAACAAATTTTAAGTGCACGATTCAGTGGCATTAAGTACATTTATATTGTTCTGCAACCATCACCATCATCCATCCATAGAAGTCTTCATTTTGTAAAACTGAAGCTCTATACCCATTAAACAGTAACTCTCAATTTCCCCTCCCCCAGCCCCTGGCAACCACCATTCTACTTTCTGTCTCTGAATTTAACTACTCTAGGTACTTCATGTAAGTGGATTCATACAATATTTGACCTTCGTGACTGGTTTATTTCACTTAGCATAATGTCTTCAAGGGTCATATATGTTATAGCATGTGACAGAATTTTCTTCTTTTTTAAGGCTGCATGGTATTCCATTGTATGCACATGTCACATTTTCAGTCCTGGTAATTTTTCATAGTCTTGTACGTTCTGTGGTCGCTGCTCCTGTCCCAGGGAGTCTTAGTTGATGTTGGAGCTGTTCTGCCTACTAGGTCAGGAAGTAGGTCTGATTCATTGCTGAATCCCCCTCTGACAGTGGTTTGACTTAAAAAGATCTGTAATTTATTAATGTCAGGGTTCTTAGAAATGAAACCAAAAGGTTTTATAAGTATATTACCAAGCATTCTCAGTTCCTCTTTACTATTCTGCACCTCCCTTTTTAATACAGAGCAGCTCTTTGTTTTACCGCACGTGGAGAAATTTGTAATATGAACTAAAGTCAGCTGTCTTCTTACCTTGAGTCAAGAGAATTTTGGATGATGTTTATTTTTTTCCAGCTGGTCACTATGAGGTCATAAGCTTGTGACAGCCAGTCAGTATAGTTTCTTTTCACACTCAAAAGTCATGTTGGGGTGGGTTGGGTGAAGGGTGCAAGATTGTGAAATAAGCTTATTTTCTGGGCAGGGCAGTAACACACTGTTCATGCTACATTAGGCCAAGTGTCCCACCTCGCAATTCCTACCTTCTGAACAAGTTCCTGTGCCCCAGATTTACCTCCTGGATCATCAGTGGCCTTAGATAACGTCAGGACAGGACTGGCTGCCCATTCTATGGCTTGAAGTAGGAGGAGGAGCTAGGGGTTCGAGTCAGACAGATCTGGTTTCGTTCTAATGCACTTTTAACTAGCTGTGCACTCTTGAGCATATTACTTTACCTCTCTGATCTTGTTTTCTTAGCTGTAATATTACCAGACTTGTAGAATTGTTGTAAGAAACAAATGGGTTAGTGTAAAAGCCCATGGCAAATACTTAGTAGATGATGGCGATAGCTACCATTTACCAAGCCCCTGCTATACAGTACTGCTGTGCTACAAAACTACGTATTTTATATCTGTAGTCACCTGGAGCACAGGGGCCCTGTAGAATTTGTCTTTGTATCTTCATCATACCCAACACACAGAGCAAGACACAAAACAGGCAAATCATCAGTCACGAGGAACTGCCAGTTCTCTCTTGGTGCTGCCTATAGTCTGAAGTCAGATCACTCTGTGACGTGGAATCTCCTCTTCAATAACCCTGAGAAATGGGTATTTTATTTAGTTTTTCAACAAGTATTTCTGACATTATCTGCTTGAACTGACTAGGCACCCGTTCAACTCTGCCACCAGCTGTCTGGCCTCAGGCAAGATTTTTTTTCCTCCTTGGGCCTCAGTCCCCATCCCGCCCCGCATCGACCAGGTTGGACTAGAGGAGCTCGCAAGGTTTTCATGACACAAATTTTCTG